GAAAATGGACCATAATCAATCTAATTAATATAAATAAGTAAAACTTAGTTGCATATTTAGTTTCTTTCTCAATCCAGATGGAAGAGAAGACATTGAATTGTCCAAGTTGAACAGTTTATAAATTTCTTTAAGTACAAAATGTATGAAGACATAAAATAGTTACTTGAGCATCTTTTGGTTGATTTCAATTATATCTCATTTTTATGTTCTTCGCGAGCACAATGCAATGTTAATGTTTCACTTTGTGCACCTAGGGAATTGGGGAGAGATGCTGCCAAAATTTCATTAGATGCTTATTACAACTATTGTATGTGTCCATACTATATACTTATAAGACATTTTTGAATGTGCAAGGTTTCCACCAAAACTGTAGGACTAATAATTTAAATCAAAATACACCTTTATTTTAAAATAATAAAGTAGCTACTGATAACTAAACAGGACAAATGTCTGCTGATTGGAATTAGATGTACCAAAGATACGAGTTGAATGTATTATTAAGGAGAATTTGTGGACGATCTGAAATCCTATTCAGTTTGCAATCAATAATCCATGTTATATGGATGGAGGGAAAATAAGGTGTCCTTGTAAACTCAAAAAGTGCAAAAATAAAGCTTTTTCTCTCCTTTCCTTTGATGGGGAGGAGAGGATAGAAAAACCTTCAAATCTTCAAATGCCTTTTGGCACTCTACAGTCCATTCAAAAGCTTGGACATTCTTTAATGACTTACATATATATCTTTAATGACTTACATATTAGTATATATATATATTATATTATATATATATATAACTATATATAACATCAACCTTTAACCTAGACCTTTTCAAACCCTCCTGCATCTACAATCCCTATGAATGCAAACCACCATTTCTCTTCTAAGCTCCAAGCTCCAAAATCCTCTTTCAATCCATGTGAATTCATATAGAATCATGAGTCTTAATTGATTGAGGGTTCTTTGTAGAGAGAGACCAAACAATACGAAGGAATGAAAATGCAGAAGAGGAGAGAAAATGAGTTTTTTCTCATTGTAGGAAATGAGGATGGGTTGGCCCAAAACCCTTAGGGTTGCATATCATTTTTTAATTGATTGAAGGGCTTGGATTACATGAGAGCTTTTGATCCAAGGGCAATAACTAAATCACTTAAAACTTCTACTTATTTACACTTAGACCCCTCAACTCTATGGGTCTTAACCAATTAACTCTTGAAATCAACTTCTAACTATTTATGCTATGCCACATCTCTATAGCAATATTTACAACAATCTCATTAGCATACATCATGCATCTATATAATTCCATCTATGTCTTTGCCTCGGTTAGATCTTAACTATGTGATCAACTTATTTGTCACTGTATTTAACATAATATAAATTGAATAATATTATCTACGGGTCAAAAAATTATTTATCATTTTTGGGGATCACTGTTCATGACTCAAGAATGTCTTTTTCACTAACCCCGAATTTGAGGCATTATAATATGAGTTTTGAGACTATTTGAGACTGTAGACCCTGGGCCGTCAATTTAAATATAAAGAAAACATAGTAGGCAAATGTTAGGAAAAAGACGAGGACGAGGAGAGAGATATGATGTTGATTTCATTAGAATTTTAATATATTCAGTGTGTCATGCTTTACAATAAATGCTTCTACCTATTTATACTGAATTTTTACTTGCTGGGCAAGTAAAAGCGGCTTTTAAAATATCTTGAGCACCAAGTACACAAAAAAAAAAAAAAAAAAAAAAAAAAACTGAATTTTTACTTGCTGGCAAGTAAAAGGCGGCTTTTAAAATATTTGAGCACCAAGTACCCAAAAAAAAAAAAAAAAAAAATAATATAATAGTGATAAAAAAAAAAAAAAAAAAAAAAAATAATAATAATAGTGATTTCACGCGCGCACATACACACACCGTTAATAGAATATGGCCCTTTATAATGAATTTCTATCTTATTTGGGTGGACTGTGACCGAAACCTTGTTAGGATAGATCATATGAGTTTTTCCACCTCATTTTTGCCTTAGTTTAGGCAGACTGGGTAAGGAGGCAGGCTGACTAGCCACTTGACAGTGCAAGTGCTAGTGCCGCACGGGAGAATTGCTAGGAGCAGCCAGAAAAAAATCCCTAATTTCATGTTGCTACACACTATTTGGGCCCAATATGTCGGAGTTAATAGGGTGTTAGATTTATTTACTTTTAAATGCTTATGTTTATAAATGTTGTCAAATGATTAATACTCATACAAGTTAGGTATAAGAAAATTAGATGTTTAATTTTAAAATTATCAAAGTCAATGCATGTGCCATGCCATAGTAAATTATGATATTCAATCTCTTTTTTTTTTTTTAAAAAAAATTAATTGATTAGAAAAATTGTTCAATTCATCTATTAAAATTGAAAATTAATATATGTATCTAACTAATAGCATATCACAAACTTGCAACATTTATTTTCACTTAGTACTATAATTGTATAAGTATTGTATGATTAGAAATCAATAAAAAAGAAATATTAGCTTGTCAATAGCAAATGGATAAAAATGGATGATGACTAATTAATGAGTTAATTTTAAGAAAAATAATAAAATTTCAACTATTGCTACCATTTAGTTAATTTTGAAAAAGGCTATATCATCAATTTATTAAGATATAATTAATTTTATGTTACATTTGAATTTGGTAAATTTAAATGCTAAACATTATAATTTGACAAAATCTATTGTTTATATTTGTTTTATATATATAACTTCAATCAATTTATAAAAAATTAAAGACTTAAAGATAATGAGTTTCACATATTTTTAAACATGTAATTATTTTAGTCCAATTAAACTATTTTTTTAGATTTAGCATTTAAAAATTGCTATTGAAAATAAATATCTTAATATGCACACAATGATTCTTAATTACAAATCCAAATACATTTGTAATATCAGAATTGTTTTTATTTTTATATTCAATATTCAGTTTTATGCTATTAACTTAAAGAAAAGGAAAATTCTAGAAAATAAAATTGAGCACATGTAGTCTGATATAGTGTCTATATATATATATAATATAATAATATAATTTAGTATGTATCTTTAGATATGTTGGTGATGTTATATTGGCATGCGAAGGTTGATGCTACGAATATAAATATTACGGTGTGAGATGATGATGATGATGATTTTACATAATATGTTAAATGGTTTTTGGATGCTAATTTATATATGATGTTATTTAAATGTCAATGACATTGTTCAAAATATGCATAAATATGGTAAAATCAGAAAGGAAGAAAAATCATTTTAGAAGAGGTTAATTACAACTAAGCATTTGAGGTGCTAATGCTTTTCCCAACATGTACCAAGCCAAGTTACCTAGTTATAGATTGTGTGGTGGTTTGATCTTCTACAAGGGATTTTAACAAACTCAACTAATAATTTAGAACAAAATCTAAACATTATTCTCATCATTTAAAACCAATAAGCTTAGCATTACCAAAAATATATAAACCTTCAATTGCTGCTTTAAATGAGCCAAGTTGTTGATGAATTGCTTGAGGCTCGGTTTGAAAAACAAACTCATTCGATAAATTTAGTGAATTAATCTAAAATTTGCTTATTGAACTCGTCCAATAAATAAGTAGTGCTCAAGCTTGAAACAGTTAAAAAGTTCTTTTGTTGAACTATAAAATATAAATTTAAGTTGAGATGGAGCCCGAGTATCCCTTTATCAAGTCAAACTCAAGCTTTACAATAGTAAGCTCGGCTCATTAGCTCTATTTCAAATGCTCTTACAAACACGAGTTATTAACATAAACAACCTACTAAAAACCAATCGTAAAATTCATTTTTTTACTGGCCATTAAAATGAATATAGGTTTTAAATTCAGACGAATATATAAATGCACCTCTAAATTTTGTTAATTTAATCTTGTGACACTCTCAACTTTTATTTTGATATATCAAACACTTCAACTTATAAAATTATATCTATTAAACATTTTAATTTTCAAAATTATTTTGTTAATTTAATCTTGTGACACCCTCAACTTTTATTTTGATATATCAAACACTTCAACTTATAAAATTATATCTATTAAACATTTTAATTTTTAAAATTATTTTATTGAACACAAACACTTCAACTTATAAAATTATATCTATTAAACATTTTAATTTTTAAAATTATTTTATTGAACACTTCAACCTACAAAAGTAAATCAATGAAACACTTATTAAAAATTATGAAAATTATTATTCCAAAAGTCATGCTAACTACATTGATAATTTGTAGATAAAAGAAAAAAAATCTAAAAAAAAATTGGTATTAGTGTCAAAAAAGTGTGAATATTACAAAAATTTCCAAGTTAAAGTGCACAATAGGTTATCTGTAATGTTCAGGGTGTAACAACGTTAAAGTTACAAAGTTTATGAGTGAATTTATATATTCAGCCGTTAAACTTACTTGATGGGATGCAAAATTATTTAAGAAACCCAACATCCTCTCCTTAGTGTAAAGGGAGAAACTCCGTAGCACCAAAACCTACATTCATGCTCAACTTCCAGGAAACTCTTAAAAATGAGGTAGAACCAACACTAATCCTAATTTCTTGGATTGAACTTGGTATAGGTTTATGAGTGTTTGAACAAAGGAAAACTAGATTAAAGTTTATGTTTAATCAAAACACTAGTTCCATTAATTTTTTACTAATATTAAAAGTTAGTAACAATTATTCCAACCAAATATATTTTAGTATTTCTTAAAACGTAATATATCTATAATTGACCAGTAATTATAGAATTCAATATATATTTTTCATATCATATCTGACATGCTCACTTATATAGAATTACAATGCATTATTTCCAATGTAAACTTCATAAATGAGGGGCTCTAACGGAGCCAAGTATTTTAAACTATCAGAAATTTACGTTAATGATATGAACAAAATCAATAGCCAACAATAATACTAATAATAGAAAGATAAGAAATATAGCCATCCATTCATAACAGAGAAAAGGGAGAATTTGTAGCTTAAAAAAATACCACCTTTTGCTTTGAGCTTTCTTTTCATCATTCACCTAAAAAGTAGATAGGATTGGTGTTTGGATGTTTTCTTTTCTACCCAGATTGATTAGCCATCGAAATGTGTTCACCCCACCTCCTACTGGTGTTATCATTAATCTCATGCTTTAATATTGTCATATTCTTTCTTTATGTAGATGCAATTTCTATCTCCAATAATACAGGAGTTTGGTTTGAGTTGATTCATAGGCATTCGCATAAGCTAAAGACAGAGGATAATTTGCTTGGACCACCCAAGAATAGATCGGATCGTATAAGGCAGTTGCTTGAAAGTGACAATCTCAGGCAACAAGTCATTGCATCACAGTATAATAGAAAAAGAAGGGGCATAAGTGTTTATGATGGAAAAGAAACAGCCGAGATTCCAATACAAACAGGTACAGATATTAGAGTGGCAGAATACTTTGTATCATTTCGAATTGGAAGTCCTCGACCGCAAAAGTTTTTGTTGGTGGCAGATACAGGCAGTGATCTAACATGGATGCACTGCAAATATAGGTGCAAAGGGTGTCCTATGAGCAGTCCTCACCGTGGTAGGGTCTTTAATGGTAATGATTCCCCTTCATTTCGGACAATTCCATGCTCCTCTAAAATGTGTGAAGATGATCTTATCCCTTATCAAAGCGTGGCCGATTGTCCTTCCCCAGAGCTACCATGTATCTTTGACTATGGGTAACTATTCTTTATTTTTCTTGTATTGATCTCACATACATGATTTTCTATTTTAATCTTTAAATATATGCATATGTACATTGTTCTTCAAATATTTAATCCTATGTACCTTATAGAAGATTTACCTTGTTTTTTTTCGAAGATATAAAAGATTTACCTTGTTTAATATGCATTATCTTTAATGACATTTTTATTAAATTGCTTGTGCAAAATAAGTCTTTTTATTAAGTTAAGTTAATCTTTTTATTCTTAGGTCATTAATTAATTCAGTTATAAGTAGTAATATAATTATTTTAATATTATTACTGATTAAAGTGTAATCTTTCATGTGGTAGATATGCTAATGGGTATCGGGCAATAGGGATTTTTGCTAATGAGACTGTCAAGGTGGGACTCCATAGTAGGCTCAAGATAGTACTATTTAATGTGGTTATTGGGTGCACAGTAAAATTCATTGGTGACTCAAAATTAGATGGAGTGTTGGGCTTAGGGTATAGTAAGCATTCTTTTGTCGTAAGGTTGGCAGAAGTATTTGGAAACAAGTTCTCATATTGCTTGGTTGATCATTTGTCTCCAACTAACGTCAGAAACTACTTAAGTTTTGGAGATGTGAAACATACAAAAGTGCAAAATATGCAATATACAGAATTACTACTAGATTACATGAATCCGTATTATTGTGTTAATGTTAGTGGAATATCAGTGGATGGTAAAATGCTAAACATTCCACAGGAGGTATGGAACATCACTGGTAAGGGTGGAGTTATTCTTGATTCAGGCACAAGCATGACAATTTTGGCAGGAGCAGCACATGATACAGTGGTAAATGCATTTAAAGTTGCCCTGGCAAATTTTGAAAAGATAGAGATACCAGGAATACCTGTAAAACATTGTTTTAGTACTGAAGGGTACAATGAATCATTGGTGCCAAGACTTGTATTTCATTTTGCAGATGGAGCTAAATTTCAACCGCCAATTAAAAACTATGTGATTGATGTTGCTAGAGATACAAAGTGTCTTGCATTTACTTCTGGTGGATGGCCAGGAACAACTATTATTGGTAATATTTTGCAACAAAACCATCTTTGGGAGTTTGATCTTGGCAGGGCTAGGTTGGGTTATGCTCCTTCATCCTGTATTATATCTGATACATAGAAGTAACAACTTCCTTTTTAGTTTGTGGATGTTGAAAGCAATACTTATGAAAATTGTATCTTTCAATTAATTTAATTGTACTTAAAATAATGATAATAATAATGAATGCTAATTAATTAGTTAAACTAAGATTCATTTAGATTTGAATAAAGTAAAATCAAAGCTTCAAAAAAATTATATTTGCTGATGGATCACGTGTGAAGCTTTGAGAATAACTGTCTGTCTTGCCATGTCAGCTTCTAATATTTGGCCCATCATTAACATATAATACACATAGAGCTAGCTTTCTTTTTTTATAGAACATTACTAAACATTCAGTTTTACACATAGATTATTCATCTCTCAAAATCGGTTTCTTCAAGCACAAAAACCTGAAGAAGCCAGTGCTTTTGTTCTGTCGCCATTGATCGGCCCCGCTAGCTGATTTTGGTTACTTATTCTTCTCTGGCAAGTATAATTTTTTGGCAATTTCTGCATTTTCTTTTCTTTTTCCAATTTTAGAGAATGAAATGGATAGTTGAGGTTTGTGTTGTTTCCATATGATTACTAGGATTTTGTTGCATTTTGGTTTCAATTTTCAATTGCAGAATTTGTGTTTAATTTTGATTGGCAATCACAGTATTTTTTATAGTGGATGTAGTTTAATTGTTATTGCAATTAAGCAAGATCCAAAACTTTTGCCACCACCAACGTAAGGAGGAGAAAGATGGCCATAACAATGATCTTTCAGTGTCTACTTAACGCTTTAAAAATCCAGTTCTATATTGTTGATTTTACTCTCTTATCATCCTAAACTCTCTCCTCCCATCTTTCTATCCACTAGCCTAGCTACCAACTGTCTCTCATATCTCTCTAAAACATATATATGAATCAAGTACAACCAAAATAAATAATAGCAGAAATAGATAAGTAAAACAAAAACATAAAATAGAGAGAGATACATAAAAGGAGAGAGAGAGAAAGAAAGAGCATGTGTGATAAATCTTCATAAATCTCAGGGGAATAGGCACAAACCTTTTTCAACTTTTTAGGCATTAATTTCCATTAAAGAAGAATATCAAATAAGTAAATACTACTTTTATTATTGCTACTATATACTTATTGGTGTTTATTTTCTCTTCTTTTGTTGATTGGTTTTGATTTGAGAGGAAATTGAAATCCAATGCAAACAACATGGGTTGATCCTTCTATAAAACTTGATTGAATTCATCTCATTGAATAAGAAGATAGAGAGAATAACAGATACAAGAGAAGAACAAAAACAGAGGAAGTTTACAATTCTGAAAAGAAGAAAAGAAGATTCACCAAAACTTGCTACACAAGATGCTCTATACAGTTATTTATACACCTTTTACGGACACCACTGACACATCAAATTTAGCTCTTAAAATCTGTTACAACTCAACTTTCTCTCTCTTAATTTTCCATAACAAACTTGCAACACTTCAACTGTTTTTGTTATGAGTAAGAAGAAGATATACAGTATGTGTTTTGTCACTGCCTTCATTATCCGTGCGACACCGTTTTCCCTTTTTGTAATCTTTTTCTTTCTTGAATAATGAAACGACATCGTTGGCTAATATTAGCCGTTACTAACAATGGCTTCCTTCTTCAAACCACTAGCATCTTCAATCCTCTGTTACCCCCCGCAAGCTGGGCCATGGATGTTAGACATGCCTAGTTTGGACATGAGAAACTTAAAACGTGAAGGAGAAAGAGATTTGGTATACAAGTCAGCAAGCTGCAGCTCTGTAGAAATAGGCATAAGATGAACAAGGCCAGAATTAACCTTTTCTCGAATAAAATGGCAATCTATCTCTAATTTTCCATAACAAACTTGCAACACTTCAATCTGTTTTTGTTATGAAGTTAGAAGAAAGATATATCAGTATGTGTTTTGTCACTGCTTCATTATCCTGCGACACCGTTTTCCCTTTTTGTATATCTTTTTTCCTTTTCTTGAATAATGAAAAACGACATCGTTGGCTATATTAGCCGTTACTAACATGGCTTTCCTTCTTCAAACCCCTAGCATCTTACATCCTCTGTTTACCCCCGCAACGCTGGGCCATGGATGTTAGACCTGCTAGTTTGGACATGAGAACTTTAAACGTGAAGGAGAAAGAGATTCTTGGTATACAAGTCAGCAAAGCTGCAGCTCTGTAAGAAATAGGCATAGATGAAAGGCATAAGATGAACAAGGCCAGAATTAACCTTTTCTCGAATAAAATGGCAATCTATCTCTATATGCTTCGATCGCTCATGAAAGGCAGGATTAGCTGTGAGATAAATTGCTGATTGATTATCACAAAAGAGACTAATGGGTGCAAATAAATTATGACCAAGATCGGATAGCATATAGCTCAACCATTGAAGTTCACATGTTGTGACAGCAAGAGCTCGATATTCTGCTTCTGAAGAAGATCTGGACACAGTCACTTGCTTCTTTGATCTCCAGCTGATCAAGGAATCTCTCAGGTAAATTGCATAACCTGTTATAGATCGCCTTGTGTCAAGGCAACCGTCCCAATCAGAGTCACTAAAGGCAGTTAGCTTTGGTGCTGAACTAGCTTTATAAAATAAACCATTACCAGGACTAGATTTAACATATCTAAGAACCTTGAGCAATGCCTGATAATGAGTTGTTCTTGGTGCAGAGAGAAATTGGCTCAAGGTATTGACAACATAAGTGATATCTGGCCTTGTGGTAGTGAGATATGATAGCTGCCCCACTAGTTTTCTGTAACTTGTTATATCAGTCAACAAGTCACCATCATCTTTACTCAATTTGACATTATAATCCATAGGAGAGGAGGAAGGCTTAGCACCTAAAACTCCATACTCAGTTAGGAGCTCTAGTGCATACTTTCTTTGACATATATGCAATCCTGCCTTTGACCTAGCAATTTCCAATCCCAAAAAGTACCTTAGCTTACCAAGATCTTTTATCTTGAATTTGGCATCCTAAGAAGCTTTGTCTAAGCTAATCTCCGAAGAATCATTCCCTGCTTGAACAATATCATCTACATAAATCAATAGGGCAGTAAATTGTTCCCCTTTTGATTTAGTGAATAGAGAGTGATCTGATTGGGATTGTTGATAGCCAATAATAATAAGAAAAGTCGTTGACTTGTGAAACCATTGTCTACTGGCTTGCTTCAAGCCATATAAACTCTTCTGCAGCTTACAAACTGAACCATCAGGAACCTATAACCCCAAAGGAGCCTCCATATAAATTTCTTTATGTAAATCCCCATGAAGAAAAGCATTGTTTACATCAAGCTGCTCCAAGAACCACCCTTTCATTGAGAGAAGTCTGATAGTTGTAACTTTAGCTACAGGAGAAAAAGTATCAAAGAAGTCCTGTGTAACACCCTCCGCCCAGTCCCGTGAGACCCGACGACGGATGCCACCTTCGGTGTCGGAGACACCATAGATTAGTTTTGACTTAATCTTAGCCATCCAATTGTGGAAAAAGACCAAAATACCCTTTGATCACTTTATAAGGTCAACTCCAATTATTGAGCAACCACTTTTCTCTTTTCTTCTCTCTTCAACGGCCAACTTCCTCTTTCTTCTTTCTCTTCTTTTTTTTTCTTTTCACTTTTTACTTGCTTTAAATCCACCAAATTGAACCACCAACTTGATTTAAGTAATTAATTAGAGATTAATGCTTGAGAAGTGATTTGTGGTGATTATTTTCCAAGACAAGTTGGAGATTCTCTATTAAGCACGGTTGGGGAACCTCAACCATGGAGTTAAAAGGCAAAAGTTAGAGCTTTAGAAAGCTTTAATTTAAAGCTTGCTAAAGCTTATTTTTAAGGTTAGTGTTCAATACACACTTACCTACTTGAATTTTTTGATTTTGTGATTATGCTATCATGTGTATATTTTGGGATTTTGTATGAAAGATTGATTTGTTGAATTTTGGTTGCATAACTGCTCTTGGTAATGTTTGATGGAAGTATTTAATATGTGGTTAGAACCTTACTTGTATCTATGTTTTCCTATCCTTTTCAGTTTAAATTGGGAATGCTTTATTGGTGAGCTTAGGACAATTTTCGATCCTAATATTCTCTAGTTCGTGTCTGCGTCCTCATAAAGGTTGTAGGTCTACTTCTTAGCTTTCAGCCCATCTCTTATGTCCATATTGGATATATATAGCTTACTTATTCGGCTGAAAACCAAACTGAACTCTGTTATGTTGTGTCGGGCCACATGCATCACTGAATTGAGTGCCCATTTTGACCACTATAATGACAAGATTTGGTTCTGAGGTCTTCATTAAAGTTGTTTCCCTGTGTCTTGAGACTTCCCTGGTTCTGGATTGGTTTAATTTGACTGTTTGGTTAAGTAGGAATTCAATAAACATTAGACTTAGTTCTGTTGAATCGGGTCTGGACTGTTCGTCTGTGTTCCTAGCTTCTGTTTACCATCTTACACATTGATCTGGTCTGTGTCCCCTTCATAAAATTTGTATCATTTTATCTTATCTTTCTAATGAATCTGATTTCGTTCAATTTTGAGACCTCTAACTCAAGTTATGTCTTAAAAACACAGCAAAGGTCAAGGTTATTTTAATGCTGGAAATTTCCTATGCCTTGACTCATAGGATTATTTGGATAAATGTATGTATGAATCATGTGTATGTGTGATGAGGTTCTCTTGATTATTTGTATGTTTGAGAATTTATTTGATAAAAATAAGATATAATTTTGAAAAGTGTTATTGTGGATATGTTTAAATAGATATAAATGGGAAAAATTGTTGGAAATTTTATAAAGTGTGGAATTAGTTTAGATAATGCATGAGGAGAAGGAAATTCCTCCCCTTGGTTTTCATTCAGAGGCCAAACGGTGGTAAGGCTTACTTCATTATTTTTTTTGTATGGTATGCTATCTATATATATATATGGTCATAAGTATGATTATTTTGATAACTTTCATATGTTTAGAGTTTTTTAAAAAAATGGGTATTTACGGTGCATGTGCTTTGAATTTTGAATAAGGAAAGTATGATTTTATATGATAAGAAGTTTCTTATGATAAATTTCATGATGAGTTTAAGAAAGTTTTAAAAGAAAAGGAATTTATGAGAAGTTTCCTATATTAAGTACTTATGTTTAAGTA